TGGGTGGCTCAGCAGCTTGGCACCGCCGTCAGCCCAGGGCGTGGTCCTGGGGTCCCGGATCCAGTCCCACATCGGGCTCCCTGCATGGAGCCTGCTTCTCCCTCTGCCTGTGTCTCTGCCTCTGTGTGTGTGTGTGTGTCTCTCATGAATAAATAGATAAAATCTTTTAAAAAATAAAAACGGAAAAGACTTAAATCAGCAATCTGAGTTCACTACCGAAGGCCCCAGGAAGAGAACAGACTCCACCCAAAGCGAGCGGAAGGCAGGCAGTCAGCAAAACAGAGAATGGAGGGAACCCGGAAACCAAGAGCTGCTTCTTGGAAAAGATCATCCAAGTTGACAAACCTGTAGGGAGACGGCTAAGGACGAGAAGGGAGAGTCCGATTCCTGAAATCAGACGTGATGTGGGGACGTTGTTAGAGATTGTGCAGAAATAGAAGGGGTCGTCAGCGCGTCCCGGGAACAGCTGAACACCAGCACGCGGGATAACTGGGATGAGGGGACGCAGGGCGGCAAACACAGAACCTCCGAGACCGAGTCACGGGGACGCCGGGTGTGAACAGGCCCACGACTGGTACGGAGCCCGGATCAGGATCCGACACCGCCCTGCGGAGGAGAGCCCAGGACCTGCGGCTTCGCAGGTGGTTCTCCCAACGTCCTTGCCAACTCTTCCCAAAGCCTGAGGGGGAGAGAAGCTTCCCGACTCATTCTGGGAGGCCAGCGTCAGCCGGGTACCAAAGCCACACGGAGACACCGTCCGAAAGGAAAACCGGAGCCCGACATCCGTGACCGCCTCCCAGCAACCGGGGTAGCGGCGCGTCCAGAGGGCTGTACCCCACGACCAAGGGGGACTCTTCCTGGAACGCCGGCGCGGTCGGGTGGGACACGGATCATGTGACATGCGCATCGGAGAGTGGAGGGGGGACCCCGGATCGTTGCCGCTGAGGCTGGTCTCCAGGCCTGTGACCACTCAGCACGCGTCCACATAAAAACACCCCACGAACCAGGGACCCAAGGGAAGCACCTGCACACGCTAAAGCACGTAGAAGACCCCGGGAGATGTCCAATGCGACGTGAGACTGAACGCGTCTCCTCTGAGATGAGCAAGGTGGGGATGCTGCTGCCACCACCTCTGTTCCACGTGGTCCTGGGCGTCCTGCTGGGAGCGGGCAGGGGATGGAGGGGTTCCACGTGGGAGACGCAGGAGTGAGCGTCCTGCACGTGACCTACGTGTGTTCATCCCGCCTAGGACGGCGAGGGCTGGCGGCCGAGCACCGGGACGCACGGGCAGCCCACGGGGCTCAGCTGCTTTCCCGCGCCGCCGCCGAACAGTCCGGAAAGGAAACCACGCACCATTCCACGGACAATCGCACCGCAGAGCAGAAAAAGCCCAGGAATCGCCCTAAGCGAGGAAGGACACAGCTGGGCAGTGCCGGCCACACACCCCGCCGGGCCCGGAGACACGCGCAAGGAGGCCCGCAGCCCGGCCCGGGGCTGGAGGCGCCACACGCAAGACCGGGGCCCCAGCGCTCGTCGGAACCCCCAGGACACTATTCTCAGAAACCAGAAAACCCGGTCTGAAGCTCAGCCGGAGGCCCACGGGACCCCAGAGATGGATGGCAATCTGGGAAAGAGCGCGTGTCACTGTCACGGAGCAGCCTGCGGGGGTGAAGGAAGCCGCACACAGCCGGCTCCGGGAGGGCCGCAGCCTCGGTCCACACGGCAGGTGGCCGGGCCCAGAGCCAGAACCAGGTGCGGCTGCCGCGGGCCCCCGGGGATGCGTGTGCTTGGGGAGTGTGTGCTGTGCTGAGTCCCACGACGCCCGAGGGCCCCTGAGCTACCGGGTGCGGGCCGGTCCCCGTGAATTCTTGGGAGAGGAAACACTGGTGGTGGGGAGCGCGGGCCCAGCAGAGCAAAAGATTTAAGAGACACAGTCAAGCGCCGTGTGCGGATCCTGTGTAGACACCGAGTCAAACACAGCAAGGGCAAAAGGACCCTCCAGTTGCGGAAAACGGACCTGGAGCTGGTACTGGTGGCAGGCACGATTATTGCCAATGTTGTGCAGTGGTCACAAGGACATGGCGGCTAAGTTGGGGTATTCAGGTTTTTTTTTCTAAAGATTTATGTATTTATTCATGAGGGACCCAGAGAGAGAGGCAGAGACACAGGCAGAGGGAGGAGCAGGCTCCCTGCAGGGAGCCCGACGCGGGACTCGATCCCGGGACCCTGGGGTCACACCCTGGACCGAAGGCAGCGCCAAACCGCTGAGCCACCCGGGCTGCCGGTTTTTTTAAGTCCATACGAGTCAGGTGTATATTGAAATACCGTCGGGTAAAAATGGCCTCTGATCAGGAACGTGCTTTAACATACTCCAGGGGGAGCGTGTGTTGGTCAAACGAAACGAGATTAGGGTGCATCACGCAATTCTCTAGTTTCGCGTCCTTAGCATTTGCTGTAATATAAAGTCTCCTGGGGAAAGTGGCAACGGCTCACGTGGATGAGGCGCCGGGCCGTCGGGCGGTCAGCACTTTGCACACGCACCCCTGATCTCCGCAGGCCCTCGAGGAAGTGGGTGCTATGATCATTCCACCCTCCTAGGTGAGGAAACTGAGGCAAAGAGCGATTATGGAGCTGGCCCAGGACCATGGAGAAGGTGCATGGCCGGGGAGGTGAGCGCCCACAGGGTCCTGGCATCCAGGCCCAGGAGCAGCACCCAACAGTGCTTCCCAGAGGGAGAGCGTGGGTGATCACTGGGTGTCCCCTCTCCCGGCCCCCGCGTGAGGTGCCCGGGGGTGGGGCCTCGGGAGGCGGTCAGCTCACGACGGTGGGGCCCATGACGGGAAAGACCTCAGCCACCAGCGCGCTGGCGCCCCGATCTCCGACCTCTAACCTCCTGAACTGTGGGAAATAAGTGTCGTTGTTTATGAGCGACGCAGTCCGATACTTGTTCAAGCAGCCCCCGCACCCTAAGGTGACATCCAGGAGGGAGGCCGGGGTGGGTGGTGCCAGCCCACAGGAAGGGAGAGGCTGGAGTGGGGGCCCTGCCCTGCACAAGGGACGCCTCTGGGGTGGCTCCACCCCGCGCCAGAAAAGCCAGCAGCTCACGCCCGGCTGCCAGCAGGTACAGAGCTGAGGGCCCCTGTCGCTGGTCCCATCTACACGGTCACACTCCCAGGACGGAGGCAGTCCCACGGCTTCCCGCGTGGTGGGCGAGCACAGGCTTCTGCAACCTGTCCAGGCTCACACGGCTACAACGCAGTTCGGTGCCTCGCAGCTGTTTTCTAGATACGTCACCCGAGAAGAGGGAAACAAAGGCAAAAATAAACTATTGGGATCACAATCAAAGTAAAAAGTGTCTGCGCAGCAAAGGAACAAATCAAAACTAAAAGGCGACCTACAGAAGGGGAGGGGGGTATTTGCAAATGACATAGCAGATACAGGGCTGGGATCCAACATATAGAAAGAACTTATACACCTCAACAGCCAAAAGCAAATAACCCAGTTTTTAAAAGGGGAGAAGACACAGACGGACGCTTTCCAAAGAAGACGTCCAGGTGCCAACAGACACGTGAAAGATGCTCAGCATCACCCATCAGCAGGGAAATGCAGATCAAAACCACGATGAGCTATCACCTGACCTTGTCCCGGTGGCCAAGATCAACAGACGAAACAAGTGAGGATGCGGACAACGGGGCGCCCTCGTGCACTGCGGTGGGAACGCAGGCGGGCGCAGCCTCCGCGGGAAACAGCGTGCAGGGTCCTCAAGAAGTTAAGGTGCAGCTGCCCTACGACCCAGCAATCGCACTGCAGGTGTTTATGCAAAGAATAGAAGAGCCCTGATCCCACGGGCGCCTGCACCCCGATGTTCCCTGCAGCCCCTACGTCGGCCAAACCACGGAAGCAGCCCAAGGGCCCATCGACCGGCGAACAAATACATTAGATGTTGGACGGACGGACGGATGTTAGTGGAGTACCTCTCGCTCAGCCATAAAAAGAATGAAACCTGCCCCATTTGCAATAACATGGGTGGAGCTGGAGGGTATTCTGCTGAGTGAAGTAAGTCAGTGAGAGAAAACAAATACCGTGTGACCCACTCACGTGGGGAATTGAAGAAACAAAACAGACGAGCAAAAGGAAAACAGAAACCAAGAAACAGACTGTTCACTCTGGAGAACGCACTGCTGGTTCTGGGGAGGGTGGGGGGAGGTGAGGGGAGCAGGTGATGGTGAAGCAGTGCACTTGTCCCGATGAAGAAATACTAATTTTAAAAGACGAGGATGTTACAGGAAGAATCAATGGAAAGACATCTCTGAGGCTGAACACAGACTTTTAATGAAAATTCTATTTTTTTCCATAGATTCTAAAAACTGCTAAACACATCCAGCATCAGGATGCTGACACGTAAGAACTCAAGGGTGACTAAAAATAAGAAGGGAAGTGTTTCAAGAAATGACCCACCCACGTGCCGAGTCACGCCTACCCCGTAACAGAACAAGAACGCCTCCACTCTTCCAAAATACCTGCCCTGCCCACTTGGCCACTCACTCCCTTCTGTTTTCACATCACATTTCTTTAATTTTTTTTTAAAAATACTTTATTTACTTATTCGTGAGAAACAGAGACAGGGGCAGAGACACAGGCAGAGGGAGAAGCAGGCTCCCTGCAGGGAGCCCGATGTGGGACTCGATCCCGGGACTCCAGGATCACACCCTGGGTCAAAGGCCGGCGCTAAACCACTGAGCCACCCCGGGATCCCTCTTTTTTTTTTTTTTTTTTTTTAAAGTAGGCTCCATGCCCAGCATGCTGTACCTTCCTGCTGCCAACCCAATGGGGCCGGTGCCTTTGGGCCCCACTATATGACACTCTCTCCCAGGACCTGGTCCAGTAGTTCAGCTACAAAACACTCTCAGCCACATCCGCCTCCTCTGGCGATGGGCTTCTCCCTTTGCTCCTGACAGATGTCTTCAGGGTGTTTCATTTCCTCCTGCGGCTGATGCTCTTCAGCTCCTCCACTCCTTCTCCATCAAGCGGGACTCAGCGGCGGTCTCAGACAGCATGTCCGGCGGGACGCCCACCTTTAGCCTCAAGAGATTGTTTGCTTCCTCCAACTGCTGGTTCCGCCCGCGGAGCCGCTGCGCCTCCCTCCGGTCCACACCTCCGCTAATCCCCGTCTCTGCCCTCCGCTGGCCATTCTCAAACTTCAGGCTTTGTCCCACCAGGTTCACGGTGGGGGTTCCATAGTCCAGGCCCAGCGCGACCTCCCTGGTTGATCGATCCAGATTATGCGGGTTGGAGAGAGAAGCAGACTTCCGAGGGGGCGTTTTCTTAGGACTGAGCGTATTCCCAAAGAGACGCATCTTTGGCCCGAGGAAGGAAAGGTCGACGCTCCCTTCTCCAGATCGGACAACTGAAGCCTAGAGAAGTTAAGTAGCTTATCCCCAGTCACGCGGTGGAGAAATGGTGGAAGAGGGCTTCGAAGTCTCCTCCTCTGCGCCCCTGATGATCACGTCGTCGCGGTGCAATGCTTTACAGTCTGCGGGAAACTGCCGGCAGGGGTCCGCGTCACCCGCGGCTCCCCCTTTATTTTTTATTTATTTTTTTTTAAAGGGGTGAGAGTGGAACACATTTTTTTTAAGATTTTATTTATTTATTCATGAGAGGCACAGAGCGTGCATGAGAGAGGCAGAGACACAGGCAGAGGGAGAAGCAAGCTCCATGCAGGGAGCCTGACGTGGGACTCGATCCCGGGTCTCCAGGATCACAACCTGAGCTGAAGGCGGCGCTAATCCGCTGAGCCACCCGGGCTGCCCCCCTCTTTATTTTTTTAAATTTATTTTTGTTTTTTAATTTTTTGCCTTTTTTTAAAAAAAGTAGGCGGCACCCCTAGCATGGAGCCCAACGTGGGCTTGAACTCACGACCCTGAGATCAAGACCTGAGCCGAGATCAAGAGCCAGATGTTCAGCCAAATGAGCCACCAGGCGCCCCACACATTTATTCATTTTAATACATTTAGGGCTCCAGTGACAAATAAAAATAAAAGTAAATAAAGCACAATTCGGTGAAACATCCCAGGCCACGGAACGCCAGTCTTTCACCCCAAACCATGCTGCGTGTCTCCATCTCCGCCGTGTCCTGGGTGTTCACAACTACCTGCCGAAGGCTTCTCTTGACGCGCACGTGTTGTTTAGAAGAGTGAGGTCCACGGAGCTCTGTGGCCCCGGTCACGGCCTTGCGACGCGGTCCAGGTCCCACTGCCCCCGACGCTGTGACCAGCTCCCCCCAGCCCCGCCAGGCGTCAGCACCCGGGGCAGTGGGGTGATGGGCACACGGCCCCTCTCTGTACTAGGTTAGCGACTTTCTATGACTCTATAAATGTTGCAAAATAAAAGGTTTAATAAGAACTCATCGTCTGGGGATCCCTGGGTGGCGCAGCGGTTTAGCGCCTGCCTTTGGCCCAGGGCGCGATCCTGGAGACCCGAGATCAAATCCCACGTCGGGCTCCCTGCATGGAGCCTGCTTCTCCCTCTGCCTGTGTCTCTGCCTCTCTCTCTGTGTGTGTGACTATCATAAATAAATAAAAATTAAAAAAAAAAAAAGAACTCATCGTCTGCCAGGGCTGGGGCCCTGCAGCACCACACGGGGTCCGTCAACCTGCTCCGGTTTGCAGGACGACACACTGGGGCCCATCCACGCGAGGCCGCCGCCGCCCAGGGCCTCTCGCCTCCTCCCGGCCGCACCCTGTGCCACGCCCCCGCCTCGTTCCCGCCTGCACCGCGAACGCCGTTGCTCTGGCCCAGTGGCCCTTGCGGGCGGGGGCTGGCACCTGCCAGGCTCGGCTGGCGAGGGCTGGTCCGGTGCCTGCCCCTGGGCCTGCATCAACTTTTGTCCCCGTCGAACACTGCAAGATCCTTAGAAAATAAAAGGTCACAGGGAGCTCTAATGTCACCGTGCTCGGAAAAGCCCCAAGGTTCAGACATCTTTCACCTATTTGCTGCTGTCACCTGCCCAAGGGTGGCCACCAGATGTCCCTTCCCACAAAAATCAATTTGCAGGATTGCCCAATGAGACCCAAGCCCTCGGTGGGCAGTATCACTGGCAGTTGATCCGCCCCAGGGAAAGCGCTGCCAGGAGCGCCTAACGCAGCAGAAATGCCAATGCTGGCATTTGCTTTAAGTTTTTATTTTTCTCTTTCAACTGCTTTTTACTTCCACGTAGGGGAACGAGAGGAGAAATGCATCATAGAAGACATTCCAAGTGACACGCTGGTAACAGGTAGGCGCGTGTGTCCCCGAGCGTCGGGCCCAGGTGTCGTCTTATGCGCGGTGCTGATTTCTTGGTGCGGATACTCCCCAGCGGGAGGGTCCCGGAACTCCCCTGGAGAGAGCTCGGGTGATGCCAACCTGCCATGAAAGCCCCTGGGCTGAACTGCATTCACGCACACGGCGGGAGACAAAGACACAACAGAGTCCGAGCCTGATCTGGTTTCCTGGTTGCCAGGTTTCCGTAAGTAAAGGAATTTCTGAAACCATTAATCACGCTAATTATGGTCGATTCTCAAAAGAGCGGTGGGGTCTCCCGCCTGGTCCCACACGGCAGCCCCGGCGCCCGCGTGTGTGCAGAGCACAGCGCCCACAACCCCAGCTCCGGGCGCAGCGGAGCCGGCACGTCCCCACGCGGCCACCACCGCGTCCCATGGCTGAGCTTAACCGGCCTTCTGAGACAGAAACGAGCGCCCGTGCTCCCGGGATTACTCAGGTCACACTGACATCCAACTCCCTGATTTTAATGCAAAAAAGGAATCGCAAACGGGATCTAAATCTAGCAGGATTCCCCCTCAGAGCCCATCGTGTGTTCCTGTGCCCAATTCTGTCACATGGACTAGTGTCAAATGCTCCTCTCTGTGTGTCCTGGCTGTTTTATGGCAAAGAATACTAAGCCCCCCTGCAGAACCTCGGGCACACGACAGCCAGCCGCGGAGCCCGGGTTGCGGAGAGGCTGGGGGGACCTGGGCCGGGAGGAGCCGCCTTGGGGACTGCGCGGTGCGAGCAGAGCCCCTGAGAACTGTGTGCCCTTGGGCGAGCTCCTGAGCCTCTCTGGTCGTTTGTCCGATTGGATGAAAATAATAAGGGCACCTGTTTCTTCTTGCGGTGACTGTGACGGCTTCAGTATTTGCCAAGCGGTTAGAAGGAGCCAGACACACAGGACGCACATTAAGTGTTTGCCCACGGCCCTGGCCCTGCTCTCATCCCTGGGGACGTGTGACTCCTGGGCGAATAGCCCCTTGGCCGCCGGCCATTGTCCTCGTAGCCTGCATGTGAAGGGGCAGAGGAGCAGCAGGGGGACGGGAGTGGCCTGCCCACCCTTCGCTGCCTTGTGGGCCGCCAGCTGGAACATGCATGGCAGCAGGCCCGAATCACCTGGCCTTCCCGCGGGGTCTGGGACAGGAAGACAGCCGCGTGGAGGACAGGTGTCACGCTGGCCACCCGTCGGCCGGAGTGCAGAGCCTCCTCGGCTCCCCGTCCAAAGGGTCCTGCGCCGCCCTTCCCACCTCCCACCGCCCTGGCCCTGCCGCCCCAAGCCTCCAGCTGCGTCTGGCTTGCGCTGTGGTCTCCGCAGCCACCGCCCCCACCGCCCCCACGCAGTTATGCAGGGCTCGGGTTCCACGCCTGATGTGTGCTGTAACCACAGGAGCCTGGGGAGACACGTCAGGTCACTTGTCTCAACATTTTAAAAAAGAGAATATGATCCTGGGGCGCCCAGGCAGCTCAGTCAGCAGAGTATGGCACTCCTGATCTCGGGGTCATGAGTTTAAGCCCTGCTTTGGGTGTAGAGATTACTTAAAATAAATGAAATTTTGAAATTAAAAAAAAATAAATTATAAAACATCATCATTAAAAAAAAGAGAGAACATGGTCATAAGTCTCATATATGCTAATGGAGGAAAAAAAAATACTTGATTACTCTCCCACCTGAAAAAAGGCAAGAAAGAAAGGATAAGGAACAAATAGGATAAACAGAAAGCAAATAGCAAAATATGGTCTAAACCCAACTATGCTTCACATCACATTAAGTGCAAATGGGCGAAACTCTCCAATTAAAAGGCAAAGATCATCAGACTGGAATTAAAAAAAAATGAGTACATACTGTTCCCAAATGAAACACTATTTTGTTGTTTTGAGCGGGGCGGGGCAGAGGGAGAGGGAGACTTGAGCAGACGTCACGCCCAGTGCGGAGCCCAACATGGGGCTCAGTCTCCCAACCCCAAGATCATGACCTGAGCCAAAATCAAGAGTCGGACTCAAACAACGGAGCCCCCTCACCCCCCAAATGAGACACTTTGAGTATAAGGAAAGGTCGAAAGTGAAAGTGGAAAAAGACCAATGTGTAAACCTGAACCGGAAGTGTGGTTCCAGCAGACTTTGACACTAGGAATTCGAGTAAAGAGGCGCACGAGTCACCAGCGTCGGGTTGAAAACAGAAAGGTGTTTGCAGGTGTTTCCTACTGGACCGTTATGAGTTTCTTGTAAAAGAATTTTGAGCATTTGAGCCTGACAACCTCCAAGCAAATCTCTCTTATTATTTTCCCTTTAACCGTGATTGTATCTTTAGCCTTCAGCCCTCTGTTTTGATGTGTGACATAACACAACTGCCTACCCCAGAATACACGTCTCAAAGGTTTTTTTTAAAGATTATATTTACTTATTCCTGAGAGACACAGAGAGAGGCAGGCTCCCTGAGGGGAGCCCGACGTGGGACTCGATCCCAGGACCCTGGGGTCACACCCTGGGCTGAAGGCAGATGCTTAACCTCTGAGCCCCCCCGGGGGCCCCTTAAACTTTTCTTTCAAAAATCCCTTTTATGAAGAAAGACTGCTGTGTATTTACTCCGTGCCTTCCCGCCTGCTCTGCTGCAAGTGCCTGCGTGTGCGGCCAGGACCTCGGCTCAGCTCACCCGCACGCAGCGTGGATACGGTGGACCGCCTGGGCTCTTCGAGGCTCTGAGCACCCGGGCCGCCTGAGCCACAGAGGGACTCTGTTTCCACTCAGCGTCTCGCTGACCTATGGCAAAGCCGCCTCTGCCATGGAACCCCGTAGTGCGTACGTCACGGCGAATACACGTGCCAGGCACTAGGTGGCTGAGAAGAGCCAATCCAGAACGTGCTTACACTGTGCATCAGCAGAAGATGAAAACCCAGATGTTAAGTTCGTCTGGGGACCCGCGGGGATCTGAGACCCCGTCGGACATCCCCGTCCAGGGGAGCGCACACCGGCTTCGCCACCGGGGTACCCGGAATCCCGTGAACCACACCCACCTGGAACGCTGGGGAGGGATGACCTCAGAGCCAGTCAGCCACCTCCACCCAGACGTGGGCTTTCGCTGGTCGGGACTACAAATAAACAGACCGCGACGATCCGAGCAGTCGGCCTCGCGCCTTCCCCAGGGCGCCAGAACGGCCTAGGCTCTGCTCCAGGAGGCCCGCTCTGCGGCACCTTCGTCGCCCAATAGCTTGGTGACTTGGAGTTGTGCCCTTACCTGTGACCTGGGCTCACCCCTCCCCGGAGCGGCCCGGCCCCTGGTGCGGCCGTGGCCAGATGCAAGTGTTCACCAGGCTCCTTCCCACCCGCTCGCTCTGACTCCCCCCTTATGGACCTGGCCTCCCAGGCTCTGTCCTGAACCGCCAAACAGGTGTGGCCCTGACCGTGGCCCAGCCACCCCCGGCCCCGGCCCCCCCTCCAACGGAAGGACGCTGCCTGAGAAGCAGAGAAGAGGCCCACGTTCCCCTAGGGAGCTGGGAGGGAGACGGCCCAGGGCCTGGCGTGGGTGCGGCCACACACGAGCCCCACGGGCAAACGCGGGGTGAAACCACCCTGGTTCCCCAAAAGTGCCTGGAAACGTCCAGGTAAAACACGGTCCGGTTTTCACATTGTTTTTCTCAGTCCTTCTTCGTAACGTTCTGTGATCCAGCTGGATCGTCATGAATGGAACAGGCAGTGAGTGCATTTCTGGGGGAGACACAGGAATGGGGAGCGGCCTGCGGGGTGGCTGTTGTGACGGGGTGAGGCTGTGCTGGTCGGGGAGGCAGCTTCCTTGGGAACGGCAGGCTCCAGAGGAGGAGACACCGTTTACACGAATGTAACCGCACTTGGGGACCTGGTGTCCCGTTCGCAAGGTCCCCAGGGACGAGCCACTTCCCAAAGCAGCCAGGACGTTTGTTTTCCCTTCAGGGCACAGACCGTACTGGAAACAGGAGACAGGAGAGGAGGAGGGCACAAAGTGGGAGGTACACCCCGGCCCCCACGCGGCTGGGGCAGCTCCAGCCATGTGTCCACGGGAGACCGCACGTCAGGGGATGTGGGGCCCCTGCCCCGGAGGCCTAGCCAGAGCCCAGCATTCTGGTGCAAGGAGCCCGGGGGGGGGGGTGCTCTTGGGAGGCAGACGGAAAGAAGCCAGGCCAGGTGACAGCAGGTGGCACACGGGGGGGTTGTTTTTCAAGATTTTATTTATTCATCTAAGACAGAGAGAGCAAGAGCGAGAGAGAGCCCGCACAAGCAGGGGGAGGGGGCAGAGGGAGAGGCAGGCTCCCCCTGACCGGGAGCCACACGCCGGACTCGATCCCAGGACCTGAGCCCAAGGCACACGCGTCACCCCCGGAGCCCCAGGTGCCCCTCAACAGACACGTCTTAGGAGGAGAGTCCCGAAGCGCCAGGAATAGAGGGAAAGGACTGGAGGACTGGCCTCCACTCGTCGGCGGGAGAACAGCAGAGCCCAGCGAGGCGCCAGCCCCGCCGCCGGATGCCGCTGCGCCCAGGTGAGGGAGCAGGTGTGGAGCCCTCGTGCCCAGGCCTCGGATCCGCCCCGAACCGCCGACCTGCGGTCCCGTGGGCACAGAACTCCTGGCACAGACGCGGCCACGCTCGTCCCTCAGTCCTCACGGCGGCACCTTCCGTGACGGCCACACGCCAGCACGCAGACGTCCGGGGCCACCTGTGCCAGTGCGGCCCTGCTGTGCCCCCGCGACGACGCCTGGCCTGTACCTGGCGCTCCCCGCGCAGACGCCCGCGTGCCGGCGGGAGAAGCTGGCCCAGGGCACACACACGTGTGTCCTCACAGGTCAGGGGCCAGTCACCTTCGGGGCTGGGTGGCATCGGGACGCCGACGTTTTGGCTGCGCTGGCTCGGCCGCGATGACTGGCCGCGCCACGCTGTGCTCGCGCTCCCGGAGACCAGCAATCACGCAGGGCGGCCACGGCTGGGCTTCGGAGCACAGGCACA